CTTATAATCTGGTTGGGTTGTCTTTGTGCCACACCCCAGGTCATCACAGACAGGTTGTTCCAAAGGGATGTACCATGATCAAGGAGATCTCTTTCTGGAGTCCCCTTCCCTTGATTTCTTGTGCAAGAATTCACAGCGAGATTGCTTCATGGCCAGAGAAGCAGACAGCAACAATATGAGTCCCAAAGATAAGGAGAACCTTTTACATAAATAATTTTTACATAAATAATTTTACATAAATAATTCCAAGTACCTGGAATTTGACTTCAAAGCCTACTGTCAACAAATGCATATCTGTAAAACAGGGGGTTTTCTGGTATTTTGGTTGGTTAATCCACAGGCAGTAGCATTTTGTACCAGTCAATCAATATCACAGTATAATTTGATGGAGAAAGGGGTGAATTTTGTGGGTGAATTTTACACCCTAATGCGTTGAGAGCTTACAGTCAGTTAAAAACCATGCCTTTGTTACAGTGCATCTCACAACTGTGTGGAACTTCAGCCTTCTTGCTTAACTGTCCTGGAATTTTAACCCCTCCCTTGGAAGGTGGGGTTCCTTTCAAATTGCAGCTAGAATTCCATCTCGTTGGACTATCAGGGCTGCTTGTTGCTTACATGGGTGGACATGTATCAAAGAATGTTTCTCTACCTTCTTCTCTTCTCCTATGGTCTCACTTCCATTTGAAAGACATTTGTTCTTTGGTCTACTTCTCTTCTGCAGGGAACCTAGATGATGGCCAAAATTCTGCTTCCTAGCTTTTTAGTTTTGCTTTGCTGTATTCTTGGTGAGTAACAATAACTCACTATGCCAACAATGACAAAGTTTGTGTTCCTTCTTTATTCTGCTATGGCAGGAAAGATGGATCTATATAGTTGGCCAAGTCATTCAGAGTGGTAGTAGTTATGGAAGCCATTTCCCCAAACACAACAGGAACTCCCACTCATACCAGATTTTAGCAGCACAATATTAATCTAGGCTTATCTGGTGAAGTAAATGGATTAAGTTGGTTTCTGAATTAGGGTTGGCATTCAACTACCATGCATAAACTCATAGCACTGCACTGAGGTTATGCTAGTTATATAACTCTGAGAATATGACACTGAAATAGTTAATATTTCATTTTAGATTAATAAAGGATTGTTTTTCTTCCTGATCCTGTAGTTGATGCCCTCAAATGCCAGGTGTGCAAACGCTACCATTCTACAATTGGTTGTATCAAAGGAACAGGGGTCTGTGTGGCTGAGCCTGGACAATTCTGCAAATTTGTTAAATATTATGCAAGTAAGTCCCCCACCCCAATAGATACATATGAGCGTTAATTTATACCACACTTGCTTATTGGTTAAGTTCATTGGCCTGCTTATATCCCATGATTTAGTTTGTCAACATACATCTCTTTGATATCAGCTAAGGCATAAATGTGATTGCTTAACAATCTCAAATTAGGTACTTTGTTACTTACAGATAACTGAGCATGCCCATTACCTTTCCCAAAGCTGCTCAGAGAAAAAAAAGCTATAAATAAATTCTAGTCATGTTTGGAACTGCTTTCACTACTCCTGGATTTATGATAACTTTGAAATATATATTCCTCTGTCCCATTGTGGGCTTTTTTTTAAAGAAAGAAGCTGTTTTAATTACCAAGGAGAAATTTAATATGATCTATGTAAGCCTTCTAAATTTGGCCTCCATCATTTGTTTTATGGAGTCTGCAATTGTGGGTCATGGCATCATGTAGGTAGAATAGAGTAAGATGAGATGGCTGGTCACTGATGCTATATTATGAATTCCAATAGAAGAGACAATATGTAGCTCAGGGCTAAACTGTGGAGTTCTTGGTGCTCTCTAGCTTTGTTGTTTGCTTGTAGACATTTCATTAACTGATTAATTAATGATATCAGTGCTAGTTGTGGGAGGGTTGTTTATATATGGTTGTTTTCCCTAACAGTGTGGGTGGAAGTGTGGCTTTCTCTTTAGTAGAAGGGTCTTCAAACTTAGCAAGTTTAAGACTTGTGGACTTCAACTCCCAGAACTAATTCCTGAGTTAACATAACGGGAGGACGAATTCTGGGAGTTGAAATCCACAAGTCTTAAAGCTGTCAAGTGTGAAGACCCCTGATTTAGTAGTTCCAATTGTTTCTTTGCTTGGAAGAGGTTTCATGATGAGTCTTTTTTTTCTTTGAGATTAAGCATTGGGAAGCCAGGGAGGTTGCAAAGCATAGGAAATGATTGCACAATAAAAGGCAAGGTCCAGATTCCTACACTGTACTCCTGAGCCATGGTATAATTACTACATCAACAACAATCACAAACATGAACTATGGGCAATTCTCTAAAAAAAAAAAAATAGGGGAGAGAATCTGTAAAGCAAATTCTCTCATCACAAAATGAATCAAAACAGGTGGAAAACATGCAGGAGAAGGTCTTTGTATTTGGCTTTGGAGAGGATGTTTTAGATTAGCTTCATCAGTAATTGCTTCATTCTGTGTGCACTGATTTTTTTTTTTTTAATTTTTCCACAGAGGAAACACCCCACACTGGTGAAAGAGGATGCACTGTCCCAGGGGATAAGTGCAATGTTTTGGAGAAAAAGGGAACTTTAATTACGGCAACAACGTGCTGTGACTTTGAAGACTTTTGCATGTATAAAGAGTCAGACATGAATACATTTGTAACTTGAAGAAGTGTTGTCTGATTCCTAGGATTGCCATCCTTAAATCCTGCGAAAACCCCTTTTCATCCTTCTGTATTGTGTAGGAATCAGCCTATGAGTTTCAGATAAAGTATACTGACATCAGTCTAAGTCTAGGTGTCGAGCCCCTTTATTATTACAGCAGAGATACATTTACAACTAGACTCAACTGCTCAGAATTTGAAACAATAAATGTGAAATAACTACTAAAACCTGGGCTGAACAAACTAAAATCTGAGTCTAGCATCTACCAGTTCAAAGTAGACTAATGAATGCTTGAAGGAGGTCACTGCAAGAAGAGAATTCCAAAACAAATAATGTCCACACAGCTTTCTAGCTACAGTATTACATCTCTCCTCCCATATGAGAGACCAAGATGGCATCCTAAGAGTTTTCCTAATTTTGTATTCACAAAAAAGCATCTTCTGAGATATACAAGGAAGAGGGCACTTCAGTCCAGATAATTGACCTATTTAATGTCTCACAGTTACTGAAACATCAGTTCTTTCATTTTCTTGGCAGAGATTTTTGAAGAACGTCTAAAGGTGACCACAGGGTTTAGAATCTGTGTTGATGCAGATGTTCTTTGATTTGCCTTGGAGCCATACCTGAGATTAGAAACAGAAACCTCTAATTAACTATCTCCAAGAATAACAAAAGGCATTGGATATTGATACTGTATGAAGAGAACATGAAATTCAGTCTTTAAATAGTGGGCCAAATCTATTCAAAATTACAGAATTCCTTCAGCAATGCTATGATTGACAAGGTTGCCAAATTAAAGAGAAGGTGCAGAAGAGAATTACCATCAGAGTAGATGGGGGAGAAGCATGACAATTTCAACAGTGTGCACGCAAATCAAAATACATTTTCACAATGCATTGTGACAACGAATTAAGAAACCCACAAGGCATGGGAAAATAGACATCATATATTAGTAAAAATGCTGAAGAGAAAATACAAACTTCATTTCAGAATAAGACGTAGGAACAAAATAGAACAGAAAAAAAGAAATGATGCTGGGTATAAAATTAAATTTTAATTAGCCACAGAACAAAGAGAGCAGGTTCTTAAGTTTTACAGGAAATGAAGAATTTTCTCAAATTTACATGGTAGATTTAAAAATTATCAATGAAAGAGGATTTAAGTTTTTCAACTAATAATGGAGCTCAAACATTAACAATAAATGTGAAATCCTTTTTAAACATTGAATTCAATAAAGGAAAAAAAGGGCTAGAGAAAGATTTAAGAATGAACCATATGGAAGTCTATCACCATCTAGTTGCTCAAAATGACATTGCTTCAATTGAGCTCTTCCAGGCCCTTCACGTATGGATGGGACAAAGGGACGAATATTTCCTATGAAGGGTCCAATCTTTTCAATCTTCCCGAATACTCACCGTTCCCTCTAAAGTGACCCTGACAGAAGAAGGTGACAAGAGATCTCGAATTCCATGACAATAGCTGAACATTAGTGAGCTATATCATTATGAATTAGCATCAGTCTGGGAAAGATTTTCATATTTCAGAGAAGGAGAGGGAGAGGGAGGGGGGAGGAGGTGGAGGAGGAAGAGGAGGAGAAGGAGGAATAGAGTAAAGTACAGTAGAGTATAGAGTAGAACAGAACAGAATAGAACAGAATAGAATAACAAGGGGCCTTGGAGATTTTCTAGACAACCCCTCTGCCCAGGCAGGAAACTCTACAGCATTTCAGGCAAATGGCTGTCCAATCTCTTCTTAAAAACTTTCAGTGTTGGAGCAGAAGGCGATCCAATCCATCTATTAATTTTATTTACTATTACTAAAATAACTGTGCCATCTCATCCCAAAAGCTTAATGCTGCAATCCTTTAACTGAAAACTGAAAAATATACAGGGGAAGGGGACTCTTACATTGCTTGCCTTAGGGTAATTCTAAGCAAAGAGAAGAAAGGCTCTCAATTTTTGATTTAGGCAGAAAGGTAAACAGGTGCATCTGGACAAATCTTGCAACCGTCCCACCCCCCAAAATCTGGTTTCTAATGATTGATTACTGTATTATGAAAAACTGCAGCCATGGGCTTCAAACTGGTATCATTAAATTAGCACAATATTGAGTTATGCATTCAGCCTTTCCATGCTTGCAACCCATAAATAACCAGTTAAATCCATTATTCCCATAAATCACCCTAGAGTCTACATCAGTGGTATCCAACCTTAGCAGCTTTAAGACCCATGGACCCATCAACTCACCAAATTCATGGTGGCTGGGAAATTCTGAGTGTTGATGTCTGCAAGTCTTAAAGTTGCCAAGGTTGGACATCCCTGGTTTTCTTCCTTCCTTCATTTACTCATTTGTCCAGAAGTTATGACTGTTGCAGAGGTCTCTCACACAGCACAACATCCGTTCTTCATAGTCGATGTCTCCCCTTTTCAAGTTACGGCACACCAGAGAACAACCACGTTTCACATGTGTCATCACAGAGTCTGGAAAACAAATTGGAGGAGAGAGAGAAAGAGAGAGAGAGAGAAGGAAAGAAAGATTTTATCTTTCTACTTACAGAGCTAATTAAAACTCAGAAACTTCAAATCCAGTTAGTGCATAAATCTGGATTTTCTGCCATAAAAACTGAATACGGTTGTCTCTTGGCCTCACTTTTGCTAATCAGTTGAGTGTAGCAGAATTTCCACAATCCTGAATCACAGGTGTTTTCCTCATGTGTGCAAACATTATTTCGGGCAACATTTTGGCAATGAAGGCACTTGAAAGATTCTACTATAAAGAGAAAACAGCATGCTAATAATAGATAAGGAACAAAAGTGAGAGTCAAAAATAAAAATAACAGAACCCATTTCAAAAATAGCATCTGTAAGCACAAATCAGGACAGCATATGGCTGGTAAATCAAAAATGGATTATCTTCTCTCAGATTCTAAGCCAATCTTCCTAAAGTTCAGGGACTGTGGAAGAGCCACACTCTTCTTTTCACCATCCAGCTGGTCAACCATCTATAGAATACTAGGGAATAGAGTGAGACCAGATGCAATGATTTCCGTCAAAAAAGATCTCTTGAACCTCCCTTTTCCAAAGTAGATCAAAGCTAATAAACCTACTGTCACTTTGATCATGAGCAAAACACAAAAAGCCAACACAAATCTTCAAACTCAGGGAAAAAGTAGCCAGAGGAAAAAATACAGTTGTCTTATTTTGGAGAAAGGGAAGAACAACCTGTGCATTTTAGTGTAGGACTTGAGTTTATTGTTAACATATTATCAGTGAGCGTGCTCATGCGATTTTATCATGTTCACCATGTACTTGAAGAAAATTGGAAGAACTGTTGCATCCACTCCCCCAAATCTTCAACCTGCCAGCATCGCTGAGACACATGCTGGTTGGGGGAATTCTGGGATTGAAGTCCTCACATCTTAGAGTTGCCAAGGTTGAAAAACCCTACATTAAACCAACTTCTACTATCTCCTCACATGCATTTTCTTCTGTTAGAGAAGGCATTTGCTGGATGAACCTGCAGAGTCATTGCAGATCTCCCTTAAGTGGGAAAGACAATGCTAGTTCTTGGAGAGATTGAAAACCACACTCACACCTTGTTTTACTTTTTCTGGGGCAGAGGGGAATATGCTTATAAGGGGCAGGTGAAATTGCTGATTGTGCCAGTTTTCTGCTGATGGACTCATTCTTTGGTGCTTATGTCCATGTCATGTGTTTCTTCCTCCTTGAAGGATAGGGAAAGTGTGAGAAATAAAGGAAGTGGAGAATCCCAGCCTTATGGGAGGAGGACGACAGAGGTGGTATATTCAGCAGATTCTAACCAGTTCTGGAAAACCGGTAGCAGGAATTTTGAGTAGTTCGGAGAACCGGCAAATACCACCCTTGACTGGCCCCACTCCCATCTATTCTCTGACTCTTGAGTCCCAGCTGATAGGCTGGCTCTTCTTTGGTTGCCCTGCACAGGAGAATGGAGCTGAAAAGCAGGTTAGTGGGGTGGGGAGGGAATGGGATTTTGTGGTAACCTTCCCCCAGGAGTGGGGAGGGAATGGAGATTTTATAGTATCCTTCCCCTGCCACACCCACCATGCCACGGCCACCAAGCCACACCCAAAGAACTAGTAGTAAAAATTTTTGAATCCGACCACTGGAGGAGGAGGAAAAACCTTTCTCAAGATCCTATGTAACAGATGGGTTAATATAAAAGGCCAGAAGCGCCCCATCCGTGCCACTGTATGCAACTGAATTACGTACAAATGAGCCCAATCCCATGTTTTCTTTTCCTTTCTTTCAGAATGCAAAAGGAACATGCAATATACCAAATGCCAGCCAATGCCAACAATTTAATGGAATAAGTTGGAAAGGACCTTGGAGGTCATCTAGTCCCACACTCTGCTCAAGCAGGAGACCCTATACCATTCCAGACTACTGGTTGTCCAATCGCTTCTTAAAAACTACACTGATGGAGCAACCACAATTTCCGAAGGCAAACGATTCCACTGATTAATTGTTCTCACTGTTGGGAAATTTCTCCTTAGTTCTAGATTGGTTCCCTCCTTGATTATTTCCCATCCATTGCTTCTTGTTTATGTGGGGGTCAACAAATGTGGACTTATATATTGAGAGTTAATGGCTTACCTGTTAAACTGACATTTTACAATTTGTCCTAGGAACGGAAGAGGCTTCATGTTCTGAAACTTGGATGTGAATGATTTATAATTCTTCAAAGAGAAAAGTGCTTGGAATGTACAACCATCCCTTTAGAAAGGTAAACTAATCTATCATGATTCCCAAAATCAGAAGAAGCCCTGGACTATTAAGTTCCTCCTAAAACCACTCCAACCATGCTAGCTAAATTGAGATTTACTGCTAGACAATAATAGCCTTTAAAATCTTCCATCAAACCTTCAGGCAGAGAAAGTGGTTGGATGGTTCTTGAATTTTCTTCATGGAAATAAGAAGAAACCAACCATCAGATGCAGGTTATATTATAAATTATAATTACATATACGATGGCTGCCTACAATATGTAAACCCAGGCATGATTTTCTTATTGATTCTGTCCTTTCAGGTCACCCAACCAGTATCCCAGTCTTTTTAAATAGAGCATTCCTTTTAACTTTCCAATTAAGTAAAGCAACAGTTCCATCTGATGATAGTCAACATCCTTGAAAGGGTTTAATATTAAAAACTAAAACAAAATCCTGCCCTGCACATTGAGAACAACCCTCTGGGTAGAATGAAAGACATGAGGAATCAGGAAGCTTTTAGGAACCTCAGCAACAGGAATCTCAACTGTTTGGGAGAAATTAAAGTGTAGGGTGTTAGTAAGTGGGCTGAATGAAGAAAAGCTGGAGAGGAGAAAAATAAGGGGAGAAAATACCCACTAGGGTTCACATGACTGTTCAATCTGCTTAAAAATAGTCAGCACTTAATAACACAATTCAATATAATATTAAATATTGCCACTTGTTGCAAAGAGGGCAACTTTTAACTGAACTTCACTCCACACAGTAGTTGTCCCTGAAGCTATATTTTGAAAATAGTTTGCCATGATTTTCCCCAGGATGTTTTTCTTGACTTCCCAAGAATTCCTAGGGAATCTCCATCCCCTCAATATCTCCTCTCTGCTTCAACCTACTTTGGCCCAAATTTCCAAGTACAAGAAGTTGCCTAAGCCAAACTATAGTGAATCACACAGAATCACAAGGCTGGAAGTCTTCTGACTGAAACCTGTGTCAAGGCAAACAGCCTTAGAGTACCCTAGTCAAATAGTTGTCCAGTTTATTTTTTGAAACCTCCAGCGATAAACACAATATTGTTTTGGTTCTTGTGCAAAAAGAGACCTTTATAAAAATCTTTAAGCTTTTGATAGGACTTTGGTTATTACAGTAATCATTTCATTTAACCTGAATTTGTGGCCTGCTAACCAGAAGAGGGCACTCTTGAATTATTATTATGGTTTTGAGAGGTAACTGGGACAAAATTTTAATATACTGGAGTGGAAAACTTAACTCAAGCTCAGTAAACAACCGAATAAAGATTAAGGACCAACTCATTTCAGGAAAATACTTTGAATTTTAAGCTGTCTGTAAGATTTAGTCCTGATTTCATTAGGAACAGTTCTGCGGAAATTAGGATGATGTGGTATTCATTCACTTCTGCTTCCTACTGGCACAGGAAAAACAGAAAACATAGTTCTTGATTAAAATCTCAGAAAGAATAAAGAAATTATTGGATGGATTGCTTTGTTTTTTCTACCATCAAAGGATGGAGCAAACATTGAAATACCTACACTATTTTTTTCTAAGTACATAATAGACCTGCCAATGCCTAACAGGTTTGATTTGTTGAAACTGGTTATTTGTTTGTATAATTTATATCAATTTCCAATGAATCTCAGGGCACTATCTGAATTTCTTGTGACCCGGTGTGGGAAGTCTTCATCCACCCACTTGTTGCTTGCATTTAGCTTTGGCACTTGTTTAGGTGTTCCTCTGTTTCTCTAACCCAACTCCACAAAATCTCCTCTATCTCAAATAATTATATTTGTGTATCAATAGATCTATCAAATGCCACATCAAGTGAATGAACGCCATATAATCCTAAGTTCCGCAAAACCAGAGATAAAATGGACAATAGTTGTTTCTATGAAAGATTAACAGGAGGCTACACAAGTATCTGCTTTGCTCAGACAGTTATTAAAGGTGAGCTGAGGAAGTAGAATAAGAATAAAAGTAGAAGAGTCCCCATGGATTTTACTCTGCTAGCTGTAGCTGAATTTAGGGGGTGGTACTCAACTTAGTTTCAAGGTCATTGAGCCAGTGCTGTCTGAAGACATTCCACAGTCATGTGGCTAGCAGGATGACACAGATCATTGTTACCTTTGCACTGAAGCTGTACCTATTAATCTACTTGCATTTACATGCTTTTGAACTGCTAGCTGGGTGAGGATGGGAGCTCACCCTATCACGTGGCGCTCAGGGCTTGAACCTGGGCTGCTGGCTTTCCAGCCAACAAGTGCAGCGTCTTAAGCACCAAACCACTGCACCTCCCTATAATAAGACTAGCAAGGACAAACTTGATGGAGGATGCTTACCTGAGTATGTTTCAAAGGAAGAATCTGAGAGTTAACAAAATAATTGCCAAAATGGAATAGTCTTCTGAGTGCGGCCCAAGTCAAAATATCAGTGATGTGGGAGTGTGCCTTAGATTTCAAAATATTTTGTTCTTGAGACAGATGTCTCTCATACGATCTTCATGAACCTAAACTAAGATGAAAGCCCTAGTGATATCACATGAGGGATGAATTGATTAACATCTCAGCTAAGGATAGCAGGTTTTTAGGCATCTAATCTTTCCTAGATGGGCAAATGATATCAACAGATGGAGCATAAATCAACTTAGGCCTAAGGAATAAAGTATGGTTTTGCAACTCAGCCTAATATTTATTATAGGAAAATAAATGTAAACATTCATTGGTCTTTATATTGTCTTAAGCCATAATGATTAGTTTGATTTCAGTTCTTCATGTTGGGTAAACCCAACCATCATGCATTTCAAACCTTGGTTTATAGCTTAGTGTGTTATGATAACCCCATCCATTGTGATTTATTCACTAAACCAGGTTTTAACAGGAAACGTGTGAATTCTCCTATGCCTCCGTGTCTTCTTCTAGATGACAATGTTTTCAAGATCCAGCAAGGTTGCATTACCAACTGCAGAATTAAAGTGAAGAGATCCCATTTCCTCCAGGAAGAGGCTTTATGCTGTAAACAGAGAAGCTATAATACCTGTGATCTCTGGCCTAATACTAGATCTGTAGTTCAACTCCACAAAGGACCATGGGAAGAAGTTGCTGGATTAGACCAAAAGGCTGCAAAGCAGAACATCTGATTTTTTTTTCTCCAGCAGTGGTTAACCAGATATCACTGAAGATTTCACAAGCAGCCAATGAGCTCAGCATTCTTCTTCTACTGTTGGATCTCTCTTTGATAAGCTTCCACCTGTTACTTCTTGTCCTGCTCTCAGGTGCTTTGGAAAATAGGTTGAGCTCACTTCTCTGTGACAGCCTCTTGGATAATGGAAGACTGCTATCATGTCACCCCAGTCCTTCTCTTTCTTCGACTAGGCATACCCTGTTCTCACAATCATTCATCGTGTACATCAGTCTCCAGCCCCTAACAATCCTTGTTGCTCTTCTCTGCACTCTTTCTAGAATCTCAACATCTGCTTGTGCTGTGGTGACCCAAACTAGATGCAATATTCCCATAATCTTTCACATTCTGGGACACCTTGATGAGATTGGACGAAAACTCCCAGGAATTACAATTGCATGAATATGTAGCACCTTCCAGTACCTCTGGTGGACATTAGCCAAGGGAAAACTTCTCTAGAAAATTAATAAATCAGTTCATTTTTCTGAGCCAGCTCATAAAGTATTCTTTGTGTCCGTGAGAACCTGTCTGAAAACTTCCATTTAGATTAGTACATTTCTTTTTAAAGATATCCAAATTCTTGATATACAGCATAGCACTCCATCCAGGTGGGGTGGTGCAGTCTAAGTAAATTCAAGGATACTTTTCTGGCACTCAAAACATTTTGAAAGTATCAAGACAAATGTTTTTAGGCCCTGTAGCCCACCCAAGTTAAACTGGAGAACTAAAGCACATCTAAAGCAAAGATGTGATGATTTTGATGATTTCTGAGCCAAATTTAACAGTGTACCAGGAATTATGCCTCTCCTTCAAATGTAGAAGCTGGTCTTCCAATTTTGGGCATGATGTTTATTATCTCTTTTCCATCTCAAGTTATCTAATACAGAAATTTATTTTTAGAGTCCACTGTTGCTCTATGCTGCTGCATGTTATATTCTTTGATGGTAAGCACATATTCTGTACTTCTGCAATTTAGCAGACTAAGAGTATTTCTGCTATATAAGGTGATGATTTTTTAAAAAATTATGGGCTCTGTCTCTCCCACAAGTGTTAAACAGTTGTTAGATTTTGAAGGGGGCAATGAAAACGACCTTCTGGGACACATTCAGGTGAAGTTCAACACAATATGCTAAACTCAGGTTAACAAAATACAATTGTTGCATCCATATACAATGTTTGGCCCCAACATGTGATGGTTTAGGATGATGGCCTAATTTGTATAGCAAGCTAAGGCAATTGCTGAGTTGCCTAAAACTAAATGACCAATTACCTAGCCCCATTTTAGCTTGTTTACGTTTGTTGTGTGTACTCAACTTCTGAATTATAGACTCAAAAGGACAGTCTTCAGATCAGCACTGCTTCATACCTGTACATAAAGGTCAGAAACAAACATTATATACTCACCACTGTTGAACTGCTAAGTGTTATCAGTGTTAAGCTTAAAAAAACTGGACTGAATTATTGAATAGTTAATAGTTTTTGGCCCTATTTGATCTGAGAGGTGAAGCCCACAAGTCTTAAAGTTGCCAAGCTTGGAGAGCCCTGGTGTAGCAGCAAACTTTCTCCATTCTTGCTATACGGCTGTTTTCGGGTGGTGCACTTCCTCTGATTTTTCCTACTATGGGTATTTTTTCTTCTTCTCATTTTCCTTTGGCAAACAAAGGCATTTTGTGACAGATGAATGATTTAACAACCAGAAAAATCTATGCCTGGGAATGAGATGGTTTTACGAAATGGAAACAAGAATGAGTTCAGTGCTTGCTTTTCTCCCTTGTTTTTATTTTGTTCTGAGACTTTCGACACAGCTACGGACTCCAATAAACAGGGCATGTTACCCTTTGATGAGCTGAAGTGGTTGGGATTCAAAAAAGAAAAGAATGGTGCTCCTGGGTTCGGATAACTTCTCTTCAGCCAAAACTTTTAAATGCTAATGATACAAAGAGAATAAATGAATAAATAAAAGAAAATGGAACTTGTCCCATTCAAGATGGTCAATTGGAGTTCTCTTCCACGGTAAAAGAGAAAATAATCTGGCAGCTGCTTGTTTTAAGAGAAACCACATTTTCTTTTATAACTTTGGTTCCAGACTCACACATGCTCAGACAGCTACATTGAAATGAAGCATATAATACTGAGTAATATTATACCTATTGACTTCAGTGAGTTAGTTCCAGTCTTCTGAACCTGCCATTTGCCAGATGTGGTGAGTCCTATGACTTCCAGAACTCTGACAGTCACTGTCATAGAACATCTGGAACATTTGTTGAGGGAGAAAGGCTGCCGTTAAATGTTTTTATACAATCAAAATTTCATGAATCCTCTCTGGAGTTAATAGAGTATCACAAGCATGCTGATGGAAGAAAACTCTCACCAGAAAACTCGAAGGCAGGATAATCTTTTGAGATGAATCTTGAGAAGAAAAACCCTGAGGGACTAGGGCCAGAAAATTCAGTTCATAACTTGACGAATAGACTTGTTTGACAGGAGAAAAAAATGATTATTGCCATCTAGCACACATTCCAGATTGAAAGTATGGAGGGAGTGGGGAGAATTAAAACCACATTTTGTCAGAATTCAGATGCTGAGCAGTACAGAAGAATGTTCATCCAGCCAAACCGTAAAAACTCCCAAACTGAGACTTTTTGTCTAATGACGGATTCATCCCTAAAATTCTTCACTCAGAGGAAATCCAGAAATCTACCCCGGGTGAGTCACAGGGAGCAGCAAATAGGCAACCTAGGTGATAGTGTAAATGGAGATGGTGGAGTTAAACAGGATGGTTTTTGATATGCGTCATATTTGAAAAATATATCAGGCAGCAAAGAAGCAGTGTCTGCATTCACACCAATATAATGTGGACCCATTTGGATCAATGTTCATGTAGATGGCTGAAGTTTATTGTCCTGTCTTCCAATGAATGCGGAAGACATTTGAGATCTTATTTTTGAAATGATTCAGGGGCACTGAGTATTATAAATGAAAAACAGTATTTCATCTCTAAGGGAAACACAATAAATTCTCAGAAACACAAGCTAACCCCAGCTGTGAGTAGCTGCCCCCCAAAATTCCTCCAACTTTCTATTTGCTATGGAGAGATGGATTCATACTCTTTTTAAAATAATGGGGTCAGGGAATAAACTTTTTCCTCTCTTTGTGAAAGTCCAAATATGGGTCTTGAAATAAAGATGTGACCAAAAGCAGGCAGTTCCTGATTTATTTCTTCAAAAGTTTCTAGCAATTACACTATCTTCTCTTCTCCAGATGGGCATCACTTCTGAATCAACACACTAATAGCTATTGTCATTTACAATGAGGAGGGGAGAGGAGGGGAGGGGAAAGAAAGAAAGAAAGATAATGAATACAGTTTAGTGTTTGTATACTTTAAGTAAAAATAAAATTAGCATGGAACTCTCCTTAATAAATAGCTGACTGTTCAAATTTCCAGAGCAATAACAACTAAAGTAACCTTCTAGATCAACGAATGGATTGTCCCGCTTTGCTTTGGGCTAGGGAACTTGGTGCAATTTTGTCACATTATTTAATACATTTATCAGATTATTTATCTGTGCTAGTATGGCAAAGGGAGGGAAGGGTGAAGGAGACCCCCCCTTCCAAAAAAACCCGACTGAAAATATTGGCAAAGGGGGCTGTCCTGATTTGCAACAGACCTGGCTGAATTTTTCTCTTCCCAGGAACACAGCGCACTGGAGGCCCTTCTGAATGTGCTGTCTTGAATGGATGCCAAGTCACAGCAACATTACCACCCTGGTCTGTTTCTTGTCTGCAGATACAGAATTTTCCAGAAAGTCTTTAGGGCTTGTTTTTTTTCCTCTCTATCTCTCTGAGCTTAACTATTTCTGAGAAAACAAATGCTTGCAATCTCTCTCTCTCTCTCTCTCTCTCTCTCTCTCTCTCTCTCTCTCCCACCCCCCCTCATCCCAAGGCATGCTTGGGGAAATGCTCCAAACTAACCTAAAACTAAGGAGAAATTTCCTGACAGGGGGAACAATTAACCAGTGAAACAACCTGCCTCCAGAAGTTGTGTGCTCCAACATTGGATATTTTTAAGAAGAGATTGGACAACCATTTGTCTGAAATGGTATAGAGTTTTCTGCTTCACCAGGGGGTTAGACTAGAAGACCTCCAAGGTCCCTTCCAACTCTGTTTTCTTTTAAATGCCTGGGACTCCAACCTGCAGAAGCACACTTTCCATAACACTGCACCCTGTTAACCACCAAAGCACGTGGAGTACATGGAATAGAACTCTGGGTCAACATTATCTTAGATCAGAACATATCTTCTGAGAATTGCTACAATTCTTCAACTCTTCTCTTAGAATTTGCATTGACTTTGCATCCTCTGGCAGCCATTTTATTCCACTTTCCAAGATGCCTGACACCATCCTTGGGGACAATGCATAGTCATGATGACACAAAGGAAGTTACCTGATGCGTTTCATTTGTATGAAGATGCCATATGCATTTGATGCCACTTGGTCTCCATTCCTCACCATTGTTCTTCGTACAGACTCAACCCAGAGGCTGCATCTGTCTGAGACAACATCAGAGGTGATATTCAGCAAGTTCCGACTAGTTCTGGAGAACTGGTAGCAGAAATTTTGAGTAGTTAGGAGAACTGACAAATACCACCTCTGACTGGCCCTGCCCCCATCTATTCTCTGCCTCCCATTGAGTTCCAGCTGATTGGCTGGGTCTTCTTTGGTTGCCCTGCACAGGAGAAGGGAGCTGGAAAGCAGGTTAGTGGGGTGGGGAGGGAATGGAGATTTTATAGTATCCTTCCCCTGCTATGCCCACAAAGCCATGCCCACCAAGCCACACCCACAGAACTGGTAGTAAATCTTTTTTGAATCCCACCACTGGACAACATTTCTGGTATTTGTGCAGAGGGGAGTGAGTTAATTTCCAGTGGTTTGGTGGCACCTTAGCATTATTGTTTGTGGCACTTAGCGCCACATCTACCACCACCTCAGGACATGAGAGAGCTCCACTGAACCAGGAGTGGCTGAATCGATGCTTTGATGCTCCTCTTCTGCCAAGAATGCCTTCTACTGCCCTCAAATTATGTCTTTTTCTTAACCTGAACAGGTGGGCCAATTTGAACAAAGGCTCAGTTGTGGCCAGCCACACTTTACATTTTCCAAGAACGTCAGCAGGGCCTCTATTGGGCACTTTGTCTTTCTTGTAGGAAAGGGTGATTCTAGAGAGAGAGGACTTGCTTTGCTCCATGCTCTTTACATACAAGAGTAATCAAAAGCAAGTCAAATCAAAGGGTTGCCATGAGACCGGCATTCTGGGGCAACAAGAGGGGATGAGTTTATCTTACAAGACCAGCTGTCTGTCCACAACTGTTAATAAGCTTCCTTCCTGGTGGGCTTGTTTAGTTGCAGCCAAGACACAATCTACTTTCCTGGGTGAACCAAACCCTCCCCCTTAGATTCCTGCCATGGGCTATAATATAATGGGGTGGCATGAAGCCTGATCCTTTGCAAGAGGCAAAAGAGGGCACAGAGGTCACATTCCGAAGCCGTTGCTGGAGCTTGCAGGTGGACGGCCGTATAACTGACAACTCCAAGCAGGGAATGGGAGATTGCGTGTTCAGGCCACCCATTTGGGCTGCTCTAGGCTCTTACCTGCAGAAACCTGCAGCAGCATCTGCCAGTGACAGATTCAGTGAGAAGGTTTGTGGCTTAAAGAAGCACAATTTGGAAAATCTTGGATCATGCAACCACTGGGGCCTCTTTAGAAGTTGCCAGGGAATTGCCACTTTTGATGGACAGAAAGGGGAAAGGATTACATTCATGGGGAGAAATGAGATTAATTCTGTTAAATGTTGATTAAATCAGATTTTGGCTTGGCCTGAACCACTGTTTTATGTTATATCTGTTTACTTTTTTAAAAAACATACAGAGCCCCAGTAGTTTCCTCCCTCTAACCCCCGCCCCCCCCAAAAAACCATTTGACCCATGGAGTAGCAGAAATTTTCTTTGTAAGACAGACTGTAAAATGAAAGGCATGCTCATACAGGGTGTGATTTAATATACAATGGCACTCTTTATGGTATACAATATACAAAAGTCTGCATTGTGCCTTCATATGTTATCTGTTATGAACTCAAGTCTATGTCTAAGAGCATTAAAGATCCTGTAATTTTCCAAAGCATTTCAACGAAGGTCAAAAGTATCTCTGACCTGTTCAGTGTCAGCTAGTCACAAGGGGTGGAATCACAACAATTTCTCCAACTACACCAGGCTGAGAGGAGAGGTCTGAGCTTTCTCTGGCAGCGATATGTCAGCACTTGTGATCAGGAAAACGTCTTCCCAGCTTGACATCACTCATCCCTGGGTAATTTAGCTGCCATCCTATCATGCAGAGAAAGACGCAAAAATAAGACTGGGCTTTGAAAGAGAAGGTAGATGAATGCAACATGGCCAGGATGGCACACTGGGTCCTTTGTTCCTTCCTTCCTTCCTTCCTCTTGGTTTGTCAATGTCACACAGCAGCCCCCATATTATAGGCTGG